CAAGGCCAGTCTTCCTCAGCAAAAAGAGGAGGATTGGCGGCAGATGTTAGCTCAGGGCTGATCTTCCTCAAAAAAAAAAAAAGATTCTTAATCACATATGCAAAGTTCTACTTTTTTTTTTTCCATATAAGGTAACATTCACAGGCTCCGGGAATTAGGACATGGACATCTTTTGGGGGGTCATTATTCAGCTTACCACAATCATCCTGGCAACAGTTTGTAGAGAAGATTGGAGGAGATAAGCTAGGAGATGGGGACACCAGTTAGAATACAATAATAATAATTTCAAATGACAGATGAGGAAGGCCTGAACTAAGACAGTAGTTGTAGGGATAGAGAAGAGGAAACCAAATCCAAATATTTAGAAGGTAGGATCAAAGGGACTTAACAACCAATTAAATGTAGGGGGTAAGCAGTAGAAGACTAGAATGATTCCCAGGTTTCTGTTTTGGGTGCCTGGTTGTCTGGTTGTGCCACTAGCCAGGACAGGAAATAGAGGAGGCAGAGGACCACTGGGGGGAAAGTCAATCAGTGCAGTTTTGGTCAAGTTGAGTTCAAGGTGAGAGGAGCCAGCCAAGCAACAGAGAAGAAGGATCCAAGCGAGGCTCTGAGAGGTCAATTATCGTTATCAATCACATAATATTTATTGAATACTTTCAAGATACTGAATATAATAATATGGGGTTTATCAGTACTAAAGATTTATGTCCTCAATAAATTATCAAGTAACTAGATAAACAGGCAACATCAATCAGGAAAAAGTGAACAGCCTAGTTTGCAAGACTCTGTCTAAAGGACAGTAAGTGGATGCCACCTGTATTCAACATTGTACTAGAGGTTCTAGCCAGAGCAATTGACAAGAAAAAGAAATAAAAGTATTCAAAATGTAAAGGAAGAAGTAAAACTATCTTTATTTGCAGATGGCATGATCTTGTATATAGAAAATCCTAAGGAATCCACTAAAAAATATATTAGAACTAATAAACGAGTTTGGCAGGGTTGCAGGATACAAGATCGATATACAGAAGTCAATTGTATTTCTATACATTTGCAATGAACAATTAGAAAATGAAATTAAGAAACAACTCCATTTACAATAACATGAAAAAGAATAAAATGGGGGGCCGGCTCCGTGGCCGAGTAAAGTTCGCACACTCCCCTTTGGCAGCCCAGGGTTTTGCTGGTTCGAATCCTAGGCACAGACATGGCACCGCTCGTCAGGCCATGCTGAGGTGGCGTCCCACATTGCACAACCAGAGGCACATCACAACTAGAATATACCACTATGTACTGAGGGGCTTTGGAGAGAAGAAAACATAAATTAAAAAAAAAAAAAAAGATTGGCAACAGTTGTTAGCTCAGGTGCCAATCTTTAAAAAAAAAAAGAACAAAATGCTTAGGGACAAATTTAACAAAAGAAACGTAAAACATACTTGGAAAACTACAAAACATTGTTGAAATAAATTCAAGAAGATCTAAATAAATGGACTTTGATTAATCAGATAAGTGTTAGCAAGGATGTGGAGAAACTAGAACTCTGCTGGTGGGAATATAAAATAGTGTAGGTACTTTGGAAGACAGTCTGGCAGTTCATCAAACAATTAGACATGAAGTTAGCATATGATCCAGAAATTCCACTCCTGGTTATCTACACAAGAGAACTGAAAACACATGTTCACACAAAAAAATGTATATACGAATGTTTATAGCAGCATTATTCATAATAGGCAAAAGGTACAGCAACTGATGAATAGTTTAAAAAATATGGTATATCCATACAATGGGATATTATTTAGCCATAAAAAGAATGAAGTACTGATACACGCTACAAATGGATGGACCTTGAAATCATTATGCTAAATGAAAACAGCCAGTCACAAAAGACCACATATTATATGATTCCATTCATATGAAATGTCCAGAATAGGTGAATCTATGGAGACAGAAAGTAAAGTAGTGCTTGCATAGGGCTGTAGAGGATGGGGAGATGGGGGAAGATAGCTAAAGGGTACAGGGTTTCTTTTTTAAATGAAAAGTTTGTAAAATCAACTGTGACAATGGTTGCACATAACTGTGAATATACTAAAATCCATTGAATTGTACACTTTAAATGGGCAAATTGTGTAGTATATTAATTCTATCTCAATAAAGCTCTTATTTGTAAAAAGAAGTGGGACTCAAAGAAGTAATATGAACCTAAGTTTATTTCCCAAGGGACAGTGCCATAGAAGAAAGTCCTGTAGAGACCTTGGGACTGACATAGACCTATGTGTGTCTCACAAAGTCAGTTGATCTCCTGTAGAGTTAATTGGGATATGTTGCCTCCAAAGTTCGGAGAGATGTTTGGACAGGAGAGAGTGAATATTAAAGAGTGAAGTATAGTTAGAATTACACTATTAAGTCAGACTGCCACCACTGGACTTGCTGATAAGGAGGAATAGGTGACTTTTCACTACATTACAGTTATTTTTCTTTTTAAAGATAAAGATGAAGATTTCTTATCTTTGCCTGCCTGCCTTTGCTCCCCTATTGTTTCACTCTTCTCTCTTTCCTTATTAAGTCTTATAGAAATATTACTACAATTTGAGTTCACTGGGGCTTTTTTCCCTTCTCTCTCCTTTATTCATTTGTCCATCAAGTCACCCAATAAACATTTACTGAGTATCTATCAGGGACTATTCTAGATGCTAGAGATAGAGATGAGTAAGAACTGGTCCCTATCGCTGAGGAGCTCACAGGTTAGTATTTTCCCAACATCTCCCTAAATACAGAGTTCCTTTTCTTCATTTCAGGGCATTTTAGAATGGTATAAAACATTAAATAAGAATCCATGTGTTTCAAGAACTGGTTCTAAAGAGTGAACCTCGTTCTAATCAAATGACTGCCAAATAGTACCTCCATTTGTTTGATCAAGTTATATGTAGCCTTGCCTGTGGTGAAAAAATAAAAGTTTGACATCCAGCAGTACTTAGTTAAATAAAGCATGGTATGTCCAAATGATGCAATAACTTAGAGCCATTACAGTTATGTTGTAGAACACGTTACTGGGCGAACGCTCACTGCCTGACGTGCATAGAAGCTAATACTGCAGCACTGGCTTTTGAGAGAAGAGCAAGCTTTATTACATGGCTGACTAGCAAGGAGACAGGAGGCAAGGCTCAACTCTGTCTCCCAGAGCTGAAGTGAGGACAGAATTTAAGGAGCTGGGAGTGGGAGTGGTTATACAAAATGCTAACTTGGTGGAATCTGATTGGAGGGTGGAACTGTAACAGTCTTGTAAGTCTGATGTGCTACACATCAAGGGACCCCTCACTTCTTATTAGGTTCCTCATTCTTCTTTTTCTTTATATTGAGTTCTGTAGTTGGGGAAGTTTTGGTTCCTAGGCAGCTCGAGGTCATCTGAAGACAAGGTTTCCATCTTCTGAGCATGCTCCAGCTACATGATTTACAGTTTTTGCTCGTTACCCCTGTCGAACAACTTTTGATATAACATTGTCATTGATACAACAGGATACAAGAAGGCCAGTACAAATTGGCCTATGATAGTTACAAATCCCCCCTTTTCTTTGTCCATTCCTTGTTCTTGAGGGATTAGGGACAGCAACTGTTCTAGCTACTTCCTGCTGGTTAGGGGTGCAGATTTAGGCTTTGAAGAATGAAATTGTTTCTCATTTAATTGCAAATATCTGGGGGTCCCAGAGTCCGGGACTTTATATTGAATGATCCTCATATGCTTTGAGGGTGTGGGTTTAAGAATACAAGACATACAGCAAATACAGAATTTGACAAGAAGGAATATGAGTCCTAACAAACACAAAATAACAATACCCAACTTAAGTAACCCTTCCAGTATAGACCTTATTCCTGCTGGGATCCATGAGAAGATATTTCTTATGAGATTAAACCCAGGTTCTTAGGGTGACACTTGTTGGAGCCAGGTTGCCTGTTGTCTAATTTTATCTATATGAGTTTTAACCTCTGAAGAGGTATTAATATAGATGCAACAGGAAGAGTTTGCTATGGCGCAAACACCTCCTTGCTCAGCTAGGATGTAATCTAGAGCAACCTGGTTATCTAATACTACTTTAGCCAAGGAATCTAATACTTTTTACTGGGTGGCTAAGGCTTGGACCGTTTCTCTGGCTAACATTCCTAAGGTGAGAGAGAGATTTCTAATCATACGTTCTTGAGCTGCCAGTCCCCACCAGGGCAATAGAGTTTGTCCAAAGAAACATCCAGCAGAATCGGGATGACCTCCAGGCAAGTATTTGTCAGGCATTCCCCAGATTAAATTTCCATCTAATATAGATCTTTTAGTTCTAGCAAAATGTTTAAAGGAACTAGTCCAATGCCAGGCTTTGCTTGAGTTATGTACAGAGAAAGGAGTGCCTAAGTATCCAAATAGACAAGTACCTCCTGTGCACCAGCTATCAAGGCATTTATAGGCCCAGGGTTGCTGTTTGGACCCACAGACAAAGGTGTACCCTAAGGGGGCACATAGGATGCTGGACATATTGTTAAAATTTAGGCTTCCATTTTTGGGGATTTTATCTAGGACACGGTCTAGCCAGGGGTCAGTGTGCAGCAGCATCCTGGAGGAATCATTTAATCTGCACATAGGCAGAGGTGTGGGTGCCCCTTGAAAATATGTTTTTTCTTGTCTTATATTTATACATAGTGGAGTGTTTCGATTTTTGTCAGTTTGGTTGAAACACTTAGATATTAGATATGGGAGGGACACAGGCTGGGAAAAATAGGTACAGTTTTTACAATATCCTAACCAAAAGGCACCTAGACAATAGTAGTCATCAGGGTCGTTCTTTTGATCTGAGGACACAGGAAGAGGACCAAATTTAGGCTCAGTTAAGAGAAAACAGGGGCTGGCCCCCTGGCCGAGTGGTTAAGTTCGCACGCTCCGCTGCAGGCAGCCCAGTGTTTTGTTGGTTCGAATCCTGGGCGCAGACATGGCACTGCTCATCAAACCACGCTGAGGCGGCATCCCACATGCCACAACTAGAAGGACCCACAACGAAGAATATTCAACTATGTACCGGGGGGCTCTGGGGAGAAAAAGGAAAAAAATAAAATCTTTTAAAAAAAAGAAAGAAAAAACAGGGGACAGGAGATCTGTCGATCAACCTGACCCTATAAGTTACTTCTAAAGGTTTTTTGTCATGGGTCATTGTGAAATTGGGCACACTTGAGAAATTGGTTACTGGCATTATTATAGGGTCATTATGATCAGGTGCTGAGCAGGGTTTTGGGTGGCAGATCTAACAGTCAGTAAGGTTTCCAGATTTTGAAAGAGCCTGTGAAATTCTTATTAAGGAATCACCTTTCCAAGCCTGAGAGGCTAGGGCAAACAAAAGAACACAGCAAAGGAAGGTAGGGGACATTTTATATAGGCCTCTCCCAGGATCTTGGGTTAAGCTGTCTCCTTCAGCTGTTGGCTGCTTCTGGCCTCTCACCGGATCAGGCAGAGGCTGGTAACAGGAACAGGAATAGCTTATTATTTATCTGGAGATTCAAGAGTCCCCTCAGTTGTATCATTTGTTTTCTCTTGTTTCTGAAAGTAACTTTAGATCAGTTAAAGGTTCACAAGAACACTCTTGGGTGGAAAAGTCAGCCTTAGGCCTCCATGGCCATCTAGTATTTGGATGATTTTGTCCTTCTGCCTCCTGTTGTCCGTGAAGGGCGTGACCTGTATGGTAATGATAAAGGGGATGAGGGAAATCCTGACTAGAAATGGGTATAATTTTTACTCACGAGCGATGCATACAAGGTGTAACTCCTTTTAATTTAACTGAAGAGTATGTAACCAGAAGGACTTCATAGGGTCCATTCCACTTAGATTGTAGTTGATCCTCATGGTGTGGATTCTTCCAAGCCTTGAGGAGGACCCAATCACCCAGACTTATACAGTGCAGGGGAATGTCTGTAGGAAACATTAATTGGCTAGAAGCATATTTATGTATAGCAGATAAAGTAGCACCTAGAGACTGTACACATTTTAAAGCATCCAATTCTTTTACAATATGACCATTTTCAAGACTGCAAGAATACTTAGTCTTAAGGAAGGGTCTCCAATATAATATTTCATAGGGGCTCAGTTGAAGCCTACTTCTAGAGGCTACTCTTACCCTAAGTGTGGCAACTGGCAAGACCTTATCCCATGTTAAATTGGTTTCCTGACATATTTTGGCAATTGTTTTCTTTAAGGTATGGTTCATCTTTTCAGTCTTTCCTGTAGACTGAGGTCTCTATGAAGGATGCAACTTCCATTGTATTCCAAGGGCCCCAGACATCGCTTGTGTTCCCTTGGCTATGAAAGCTCCTCCATTGTCACTTTTAATTGAAAGAGGCAGCCCAAAACGAGGGATGACTTCTTTTAGTAAGGCCTTTGTAACTTTGGAAGCCTTTTCCATCCTGCATGCAAAAGCATCAACCCATCCTGTGAAAGTGTCCACAAATACCTATAACTTCCTATGGCTCTTGGCATAACAGTAAAGTCAATTTGCCAATCATCTCCTGGTTCTATCCCTTGGGTTTGTACCCCTTTTATTAATGGAGGTGGCCCAGTATGGTGATTGTTTCTGGTGCAAATCAGGCAATTTTGTATTACCTTTTGGATAGTCCTTCGCATTTGTGGACCAACAACAAATTTTTGTTACCAATGATAAGTTGCATCTCTCCCATAATGGGTTGCTTGATGTAGGTGAGTAATAATTCCTTCTATTAAATGCTCATGGATAAGCACTAGTCCCTGTTCATTATAAACCCAGCCTTCTTTGGTTGTTTGGTACTGATCACCATCTAAGTCTCGAGAGTCAGCACGAAATCCCCATTCATCTGCTCTGTCTAGATCTACTTCTGAATACTGAGGCTTAAACAGGGACAGATCCACACTAGGAATGAGTGCTAGGGCCTTAGGAATTGTGGTTTTGGTTCTGGCTGCCCGTTGTGCAGCCTGATTGGGAAATTATTTCCTTTGGCTATATAACTGTCAGTCTTTTGGTGGCCTGGGCAATATACTATGGCTACTTCTTCTGACATCATAACAGCTTCTAATAAGGCCAGTATCTCTTCTGCATGTTTAATCTCTTTCCTTCCTGATGTTAACAGACCTCTCTCTTTCCATATGGCCCCATGTGCATGCATGACAGAGAAGGCATACTTAGAATCTATATAAATGGCTGCCTTTTTCTTAGCTCCAAGATACAGGGCTCTTGTTAGGGCTATGAGCTCTCCCTTCTGGGCAGACGTACCTGGAGGGAGGGCTTTCGCTTCTAGGACCTCCTGATGAGTTACTATTGCATACCTGGCTTTCCAGAGTCCATGATGCATGAAACTGCTCTCGTCAGTAAACATTTCCATGTCTGGATTTTCCAAAGGCTGATCAGTCAGGTCAGTTCTGCTAGAATAAACCTCTTCAATTATTTGTATACAATAGTAGACAGGTTCTCCTGTCGTCCTGGGGAGCAGGGTGGCCAGGTTTAGGGTAGATACCGCCTTTAATTTTACATTTGGGTTATCCAGTAGTGTGGCCTGATATTTGCCCAATCTTCCTAAAGTAAGCCAATATCCACCTTTTTGTTCAAGTAGAGGTAGCACACAATTTGGAGTGTGCACAATAGTAGGCTGGCCCAGGGTAAATTTTTCAGCCTCTTATAAAAGGTCACAGGTTGTGGCCACAGCCCAGAGGCAACCTGGCCACCCCTGAGTTACAATGTCCAATTGTTTTGAAAAATAAGCTACTGGGGGGCCGGCCCCATGGCCGAGTGGTTAGGTTCATGTGCTCCCCTTTGGCGGCCCAGGGTTTCACCGGTTCGGATCCTGGGCGCGGACATGGCACCGCTCATCAGGCCATGCTGAGGTGGCGTCCCACATAGCACAACCAGAGGGACCTACAACTAGAATATACAACTATGTATGGGGTGGGAGCTTGGGGAAGAAGAAGAAGAAAAAAGAAGACTGGCAACAGGTGTTAGCTCAGGTGGCAATCTTAAAAAAATATTTAGATTTCTTTTTTATTTTTTTCCTTTTTCTCCCCAAAGCCCCCCAGTACATAGTGGTATATTCTTTGTTGTGGGTCCTTCTAGTTGTGGCATGTGGGACGCTGCCTCAGCGTGGTTTGATGAGCAGTGCCATGTCCGCGCCCAGGATTCGAACCAACGAAACACTGGGTCGCCTGCAGCGGAGCGCGTGAACTTAACCACTCAGCCACGGGGCCAGCCCCTAAAAAAATATTTAAAAGAATAAGCTACTGGCCTTCTGGCGGCACCTAAATTCTCAGTTAGCACTCCAAGATTTACTCCTTGTCTTTCACGCACAAAAAGATCAAATGGCTTTTTAATGTCCAGGAGACCAAGTGCTGGGGCTAATGGCTTTTTAATGTCCAGGAGACCAAGTGCTGGGGCTGTTAAAAGTTTCTCCTTGATGGTATGAAATGCCCTACGGCATTCTGTAGTCCAGTCTAATGGCTCATAGTCATTTCCTTTAAGAGCTTCATATACGGGTTTGGCCGTAAGTCCAAAATTAGGAATCCAAATATGACAAAACCCAGCCATTTCTAAAGATCCTTGCTATTGTCTTCTGGTGGTGAGGACAGCCACCCTAGCAAGTGCCTCCCTTTGGTCCAGTAATAAGTTTCTTTGTCTTCTTGATAACTCAAATCCTAAATATTTTACAGTTGGTTGAAAAATTTGTGCCTTCCCCTTGAAGACTCTATATCCCTGTTCTGCCAGAAAGTTTAAAGTAAGGATTGTGTTTTGGTCTGAAGCTTCCTTAGTTTCACTGGCAATCAGTATGCCATCTACATATTGGAGTAAGACTCCCTCATTTAACTGGAGATCCCTTAAGTCCTTGGCTAGGTCTTCCCCAAAGATGGTGGGGGCATTTTTGAATCCTTGTGGGAGTACCATCCAGCAATATTGTTTTACACTAGTCTCTGGATTGTCCCATTCAAAGGCAAATAGTTCCTGAGACGCAGGGGTTAGGAGTACGCAGAAAAAGGTATCTTTTAAGTCTAGAACTGTAAACCAGCAAAAGTCTCCAGATAAAGTTGTAAGCAGAGTATAAGGATTCAGCACCATCGGATGTATATCCTCTACAATTTCGTTAATGGCTTTCAAATCCTGTATAAAACGATAGTCTCTGGTCCTGGGTTTTTGTATGGGAAGGATGGGAGTGTTATATGGGGATTGACATGGTCGGATTAATTGGCATTTAAGAAAGGTAGCTATCAGGGGCTTTATACCTTCTTTCGCATGCTTCTTTAAAGGGTATTGTTTCAAATTTGAAATCTTGGTGCCTGGGCAGGGTTTTACCATTACTGGATCAGCCATCTTGGCCCTTCTGGCCTCCTGTCAGCCCAAACAACCGCTCTTACCTTTCATAGAACTTCTTCAGGGCACTCTAATCGAGGCTCGTCTTCCAATTGCAACAGCACAGCTTGGAGGATGCAGGCGTGTTCTGGGAGGACTTTAATATCTACTTTCTCTGGCGAAAAAGTCAATTGGGCATTTAACTTTGTTAGTACATCTCGTCCCAACAATGGAATGGACAGTTGGACATATACAGAAAGCTATGTTTTCCCTGTGTGACACTCAAGGGGCTGTAGGAAAGGTTTATGAGAGACTTCCCCAGATAGACCAGTAATGGATGTGGTCTTGAGGGAAAGGGGGCCTGTCTGGGGTTTAGAACAGAATAAGTAGCTCTTGTATGAATTAGAAAGTCTATAAGTTTTCTTCCCATGGCAATTGTCACCCAGGGTTCCTTTGGGTAAATGTCAATAATGCTAGCAGAATTTAGAGGAGCCCCTGGGGTTCCATTATTCTTGGTCACTATCTGTAAATTGGGGCATCTGGTCAGGCACACTGGTTTCCTCTCTCAACTTCCGAGAATGGTTGGGACATTTCCTTTTCCAATGGTCTTCCTGTTTACAATAGGTGCATTGCCCAGGTCCCAGAGTCAGGTACCCAGGACGATTGGAAGAAGAGGGCCCTGGGGGTCTTATCCATGGTTTTCCGCCTCTTCCTGCAGGTGGTTGTGATTCTGGTTGATTGCCACTAATTGCTGTGGAACGCAGGGCAGCCTGTTGTTGCATTTCCCATTGTTTCTGTTTTTCTTGTATCTGGTCTCAGCTGTTAAACATTTTTAAAGGCAATCTCAACAAGCTGAGACATGGGCATCCCTAATCCCCCTTCCAGTCTTTGTAATTTTTTCCTTATGTCAGGGGTACTTTGGCTAATAAAAGTCATTGATTAGCCTCATGTTATCTGGATGTTTCAGGTCAATATCAGTGTACTTTGTGTAAGCCTCAAAGACTCTCTCTAGGAAGGTCTAAGTGTTTTCTTTTGGTCCCTGTTATACCCCCTGGACCTTATTTAGGCTCTCCAGTTTTGGGACGCCCTCCTGCATCCCAGTTATTAAGCATGCTTTGTAATGATTTAACCGTGCCTGACCTCCAGGGTCATTGGGGTCCCAGCCTGGCTCAACCCCGGATATGGCCTGTACTGCTGGAACACTGATTGGATTGTTAGTTTGTAACTCACGAAGTCTCTAAGCCTCCTGATGAGCCTTGTCCATTACCATCCCACGTTCCTCTGGAGTGAAGAGGGCATTCATGAGGGCCTGAATATCACTCCAGTTGTGATTATGGGCAGCAAAGATGGACATAAATAAACTTTCCATCTTTTGGGGATCATCTCGGTAGGCAGGCATGCTGTTTTTCCAATTGTATAAGTCCTAAGTCAAAAAGGGGGAATGTACATACAAAAACCCTCTGGGCTGGCCTTGGTCATTGAGACCCGCAGGGACTTGCCTTAAAAGGAATTGCCCTTCCTGGGGTGGAACATTCCGCATGACAGCTATGAGAAGGGGAGACCATTCCTTTCAGCCTATAGGGTAAAGGGGGGCACAAAGCTGAGCCAGAAGCTTCAAGGGGTTCATTGTGCCCTTCTTGGTCCTCTCCAACCATGCTCCCAGCATATGGCGGAGGCGCTACAGGAGATAGCAAATGAGGAAGGACAGGGTCGTCCTCTGATTTTGATTCTGGAAAGACAGGTTTTCTCTGCGGATCCTCCCTCTGAATCAGGATCTTACATCTCTTTTGCAAATTCTGATTTTGATATAAAGACATAAAAGATTGCACATAGGGGATCTCTTCTCTTTTACAGAATAGGTCTAATTGCAAGATGGCATCATAGTTCAAAGACCCGTTCTCAGGCCACACCTCATTTGACCCCAATGAGTACTGGGGCCAGGCCATGTTAGAAAAGAAAATCATTCTCTTTTTCTTCATGGGCTTATTACTGAACATCACTCGATTTTGAAGAATGCAGCCCAATGGGCTACAATTAGGTATGCCATTTACATTTCCCATTTTAAGGGGGCTTTTTCCTAGGTGGCATCAACAAACAAGGTCTTTCTGGGGATGGTGTTTACATTCTGATAGCGTGGTGCTTGCAGGAATAACTCCCCCAAGAATGACGAAGGGGTCAGTTGTTTCCTGTATGTGTCCCAACACCAACAAAGTTCAGGCAAGTGAGCCCTGGGTGAGCTGCTGCTGCTGACTGCTTTGCCGTGAACAATGAAGGTTCTGTAAAGTATATTCTTCGGCAGGGGAGGTTCCCTATGAGACCATTACATGTCACAGACAGATGCCCCAACACCTCCATAAAGTCCCTAGTCACCTGGGAACGTCCCAAAGGATGGAGTCAGAAGACCCTCATAAAGTTAATTCCTAAAGGGAGTTTGTTATGGTCACCAAGAAACCCAGTCCCCAAACAGCCAATTCAATTTAGATAAACAACATTAATACACAATAATACACAATACAATTCTACCTATAACATAGATCGGAATGCTAGCCAGATTACCAACCGGGACAACTCAGAACCAGATTACCAGGAGCAAATCGTGAGTGAACCTTTTATCCTGTCTCTAATTATCCCAGGTCCAGGCCCAAGATTCTGGACTCAGTTCTCCAGGATTCCCTAGAATACAAGTCAAACTTATATTTCCAGGGGATCACACCAGAGAGACAAGGTAAGGGATAGTCACTTTCTTAATGTTACTCACCCAGAGATGTCTTGATCCAGAAGTGATTTCTTTTCTCAAAAGAGAAAGTAGTGCCAAAGAGCTGGTGGTGCTTTGGTGGGGAAGCAGCATCCCAAAAGTCGAATCTCTAGACTAAAGCAGTCCAGGCAGCCAGTGAAGGCTGACAATGAGGGCCAGCACTCCACTGAGGGGCCACCAAGCTTCAAGCTGACAGTCAAAAGACCAGAAGTCCCTTTGCGGTCGCCAAATTTGTTACTGAGCAAGGGCTAGCTGCCCAATGTGAATGGAAGCCAATACTACAGCACTGGCCTTTGAGAGAAGAGCGAGCTTTATTGCGTGGCCAACCAGCAAGCAGACAGGAGGCAAGGTTCAAATCTGTCTGCTAGAGCTGAAGCAGGGCCAAACTTTTAAGGATCTGGGAGTGGGAGTAGTTATACAAAATGCTAACTTGGTGGAATCTTATTGGAGGGTGAAAGTGTAACAGTCTTATAAGTCCGATATGCTACAAACCAAGGGACCCCTCGCTTGTTATTAGGTTCCCCATTCCACTTTTTCTTTACATTAAGTTCTGTAGTTGGGGAACTTTTGGTTCCTAGGCAGCTCGAGATCATCTGAGGACAAGGTTTCCATCTTCTGAGCACGCTCCACCTACACGACTTGCAGTTTTTACTCATTACCCCTACAAAACAACTTTTGATACAACATTGTTAGTGATATAATAGGATACAAGAGGGTCAGTATGAATTGGCCTACGATGGTTACAAACATATTGTAGAAGATAATTCCAATTTTGCAAAAAAATGCAAAAAAAGGACTGGAAGGACATACATCAAAAAGAGCAGTGGTTATCTCCAGGTATAATAGGATATGAGTGATTATTGCTTTATTCTTCAGACTTTCTATGCTTTCCAAAATTGTTATAGTGAATATTTAAATTTTTGTAATCAGAAAAATATATATATAATTAAAATGAAAGAACTCTTACGAGGACAGGGACTGAGTTTTTACATGTCTTATAGTGGTTACAGCACTTTGGGAGTGCTTTATAAACAGTGAATAACAAGGAACGGAACGGAAGACTACGTCGCCATAACTATAACAAGGCTGAAAACAAGAATGTTGAATTGCAGGCCAAAACTCTTACTTAACACTCCATCCCCCCATTACCAGCCCATTCTATGTTAGAGCCTTTCATCTGTGGCTGATACATATGCAAACCTATCAACTGTGGGCACTCCTGGCTTAGTCGAAGACAAAAAATAAATCATGTATTTTCAGGATATGAAGGCTCCAGGCTGTGAAGTCCCAGACCATGCATGAAGTCAGATATATTTCTTTTATGATAATAGTAACCAGTATCTATTAAACACCTGCTATATGTCAGGCAAGTATACATCTCACTTAATTGTAACAGCATCCCTATGAGGTATTATTATCTCCAGTATTTCCTTCCAGTCTTTTTCTATGCATATGTGTACATAGAATTTCTCCACAAAGTTAGTATCATATTTTAACTCCTTTTTAAAAAAATGCAATATGAACCAGCCCTGATGGCCTAGTGGTTAAAGTTCGGTGCTCACTGCTTCAGTGGCCTAGTTTTGTTTCTGGGTTGCAGAAACACACCACCCGTCTGTCAGTTGCCATGCTGTGGCGGCAGCTCACATGGAAGAACTAGAATGACTTACATGTAGGATACACAACCATGCACTGGGGCTTTGGGGGGGAAAAAAAGAGGAAGACTGGCAACAGATGTTAGCTCAGGGCAAATCTTTCCCTGCAAAAAACCAAAAAAAGTAACATTATATTAGGAGCATTTTTGTGTGTCAGTTTTTTAGCAGACTTTATTTTTTAGAGCAGTTTTAGGTTTACAGAAAAACTGAGCTGTAAGTACAGAGAGTTCCCACATACTCCCTGTTCCGCCCCCCCCCCCCCACCATGCACAGCCTCCCTTGACTATCAACATGCCTCACCAGAGTGATACATTTGGTGAACCTACACTGACTCATCATTATCATTCAAAGCCCACAGTTTACATGAGAGTTCCCTTTTGGTGTTGTACATTCTACGAGTTTTGACAAATGTATAATAACATGCATCCATCATTATCGTATCATACACAATAGTTTCACCGCTCTAAAAATCCTCCGTGCTCTGCGTCATTAGTTTTTTTTAATGTAGTTGTTAAGGACCACATCCATTGTATGAATATAACCAAAATTGATTTAACAATCCCCTATTATTGGACATTTAGATGGTTTTCTTATCTCTGTTTTAAAGATGAGAAAACTAAGACCTGGTGACTTGACAAGTGACTTGTCCAAAGTCAACTGGCTAAAATGCAGGCAGAGCTGAGATTAGAATCCTGGTCTGTCCCTAGAACCACACACTTTTACTCCACCACCACACTGCCTCTGAATTAATAATACACCATTACCCGCTCCCCGCCCCGGAAACCAGGCATTCTCCACAACCAGAGCAGTCAAGGATCCACGCATGTGCTCTGAGAAGGGCAGGCAAGGTAAAAGAAAGAGGTGGCCCAACTGAGATGGAACAAATTGAAAATGCAAAGGGAGGTACAAGGACATAGAAATAAGCAGATGGTGGGAGACGGGTACACAGAATACTCGTTAAGATAAAGAGAAAGCTGGGTTTGGGAAACCTAAAGGGGAAAACTCTTGCTTTTATCTCGGTATATAGGAGAGAGCAAAGATAATAACCTCAAGGCCATGTGGGAAGACAGGAAGGATAAGGCTTCTGGGAAAGTGAATGAGACAAGGAGGGCTAAAACTCCCGAGGACCGTAAGGCTAGGAGAGGCTTAGTGTGGGAAAGAAGAAAGGCCCAGAGCAAAGAGGCAGGCTAGAGTAGGCAATGGACACCAAACCTACAGCGTTCCTAAGTCTGCGGCAGGACTCCCTTCCAGTCTGAGCCTTCTCTACGATCTCAGATACTAAATGCTCTCCAGCCCTTAGGGGTTGGAGGGGGAAAGTGGGGAGCGGGGACTGTAAAGTGCTCCAACTATATTGGGGACTGAGAATGAATCCAGGCACACATTTTTTTAAAGCCAGTAGGCCTAACGCTAGTGCCCCCTCCCCCCACCCCACTTCTCTAGCCTCAACCTCAGCCACACCCACACGCTAAGGACCTTCCAGGAGGGGGAGCGTGTGCGCGCGCGCGTGCGTGCTCGTGCATATGAGAGGCAGAGACAGAGACGGAGACAAAAAGAGATCGGGAGAGAGAGTGCGCGCCAAGGAGAGAGAGAGAGCGAGGAAAGAGACAAGGACAGAGAGAGAGAGGGAGGGAGAGAGACAGAGACAGACAGAGAAAGGGGGAAGAGCTATTGGCCTTGGTGAGAAAAACTACTGAAGAGAGAACGCAGAGAGCTCCTGCAGGAAGACTCAGGGAGAAGATCCCAGAACTTACCCTAAGACCGTTGAGGGAGTGGGGGGAGTGTCTTTGCAGGACTGGTTTTGGGGTCATCAGGCAGTAACGGTTACTGCAAAGGCGTTGTCACTGAGCCAGAGCCATTTAACCCGCCCTGGGTGGCTGGAGACCCAGCTTAAGACACCCCACAACTGTGACTCTCAGAATGGTTAGGGGGCCCGAGGTTGCAGACAAGGGGAGGAGGGGCACGTGAGGGCTGGGTCCCTGCCTCCCCCCTCCGCTGTCACTCATTACCCCAACAGTCGCCCAGGGGGCGGGCCCCGGAGAGGTGGGGTTGGGGGGAGGGTAATCTTGGCAGGCGCCTGCTGCATGGCGTAGGTAGGGACTGTTGAGGGGGGCGGACGCCGGGGGGTTGAACACGAGTGGGAAGCGAAGAGAGACACGGGGAGGGGGAGGGGTCCGGGAACCATTTGAATGAGAGGAGGGGATCACGGGTAGAGTGGGCTCCAGGAGGTAGGGCGGGCACGGGTGTGAAGGGGCCAGACTCTTGAACCAGGTAAGGGAAGCAGGTGCGTAGAACTGCTTTTTGTGGGTTAGTGTACTCGGCCCTTCGGTGGAAAGGGGGTGCCGCCTCTCCCGGGGGCAGGCTTGAAGGCTCCAGAGGCTATCTTTTCCTCCTCAACTAACGGGGCCCCGGGCGGGGGCTCAAGCTCCATCTCCAACGACTGTGCTCCACTCCGCAATTTCCAGGCAGCCACTGGGCTGGGAGTCTCGCGCCGGGGGCCGGCGCTGTCTCGCGAGCCCCCTCCTCGAGCCAGCCAATGGGGTTGGTTGCTGGCGCCGCCCGCCCGCCTGGTGCAGAGCGCTGGGCGCTGTGAGCGGCGCTGCCATTTAAAGGGGCCGCGACCCCTGTCCCGGCTGCTAGGGAGGGAGGTGGAGAAGGAGCGCGGGGCCGTCGCTGTCTGCAGTTCTAGGCTTGTAGCCGTTACACTAACCCTGCCTCAGGTAGGGGTCGGGCCTGATCAAGCCGAACCGAACCTGCAGGCGGGATCTCGCAGTAGCCGGGAGGGGGGTCTGAGGAGAGATCGTAGCTCCAAAATGTCTTCCTGTAAATGCCTGAGGTGGGGGGTGGGCAACAGGAGAAGGAGGAACTGGGGGAGCAGTGGGAAAGGGGGACGGAGCTGAGGAAGTGGGCGACCCTGAAAGGTAACTGGGGGGGAGGGGTTAGGAAGGGCAGTTTGTGGGGGCGAGGAAAGGGCTGAGGGAAGACCGTGCAACGCGGGGGGGGGGGGGGTGGGGCCAGACAGGGTGGGTAAAGACTGAGGAGCGGGGGGCTCTAGGAGAGAGGGGAGGGGATAGAAACTGAGATCGCGGGGGCGGGAGAGGCTCCTGGTGGCAACGGCCCTGGGAGACTCTAAGGGGGCGTTCAGCCCGAGTTGGGGGGGTAAAAGGTAAGGGGGGGAGGGGAACTGGGAGTTGCAGTGGGGTGGCGGGGCAGGCGGGCGGGTGGAAAGACCGACTGCCTGGACCGACTGCCTGGCGACTGTGGGCACAGGGCCAGGGTGGGAACGCCTCTCCCCACAGGGGGCGCTGTATGTGGGGGGAGGGGGGAGTGGTCTTTTGGCCTAAAGCCTGTGGCAATGCTTGTCGGTTGTGGTGGGGCTGCCCATGAGAAATCAAAGTGGATGATGGGGTGTGTCCCAGAGCCTATATAAGAAGGAATTCTGGCGAAGACCACCTCTTCCACCCCCTCTTTTACCCCTAATCTACAGCCCATATCCAGTCATCCTCATGGACCCCAGTGATTTCCCCAGTCCGTTTGACCCATTGACCCTGCCAGAGAAGCCCCTGGCTGGAGACCTTCCAGTAGACATGGAATTTGGAGAGGATCTACTGGAATCCCAGACTGCCCCAACTCGAGGATGGGCCCCCCCTGGCCCTTCTCCATCCTCAGGAGCCCTGGACCTGCTTGATACTCCTGCTGGCCTGGAGAAAGACCCTGGAGTCCTGGATGGAGCCACTGAGCTGCTGGGGCTGGGGGGGCTGCTCTATAAAGCCCCCTCCCCCCCAGAGGTGGACCATGGTCCTGAGGGGACCCTTGCATGGGATACAGGCGATCAGACCCTAGAACCTGGACCAGGGGGCCAGACCCCTGAGGTGGTGCCACCTGACCCAGGGGCTGGGGCAAATCCCTCTTCACCGGAGGGGTTACTAGAGCCTTTGGCCTCAGATTCTCCAATAACCTTGCAGTCCCCACATATTGAAGAGGAAGAGACCACCTCCATAGCTACAGGGAGAAGGGGCTCCCCTGGGCAGGAGGAGGAGCTTCCCCAAGGGCAGCCACAGAGCCCAAATGGCCCCCCCAGCCCTTCACTGGGAGAGGCTTTGGGGGATGGAATGAACAGTTCTCAGACCAAACCTGGGGGTCCTAGCCCCCCTGCACACCCTTCCTTGCCAGGTAGGTTGCCTAATCAGCCGGAGAATCAAGGGTGGGGGCAAGGAGGGGTGGCTGTGTGTTTGGGAAAGAAGTAGGGGAGAAGGAGGAGGGTGGAGAGATAAGAGTAGGGGTGTGTATGGAGAGGGAGTTGGGGGTTTGGAAGGGAGGAGTGGGGGTGTGTGGTGAAGAAGATTAAGGAAAGTAGGGGTGGGGGGAAGCTCAGCAGCCTGTAGGGGAGAAAAAGGGGTGAAATTTCAGCGGGTGGGATGGAAAGAGTGGATTTGGTGAGACAGGTTCCCTTTTTCTTACCCCAGTGGGCTTTTGGTGCCAGGGTCCTTCCTTAAGCATTTGGGGAGGACACCAGGCTTCTTGGTTCTAAGATTTTTCTAGCTGTTTTGTTCTAGATGAGAGTGGGGTTTCTGGGTTTGATGAATGATAACTAGGTCTGGAGCCACCAACAGCATAGTAATTTCAAGGGAATGATAGAAATGCAGGGCCTAGGATTGTGTCTCTGATAGGGGAAAGACAGCCTAGACTTGAACGGCTCTTGCTTCTCCCCTGTGCTGCCTAGTGGTATCCCTCTCCCAGGCTGCCACCAGGGTCTTAGGGCTTATATAACTGCCTGGGTCCAGGGGAACTTACCCATACATTAATGCTTCCTTTTCCCCTTGCTACCTTTGGGTGGTTGCGTTTGTTTTTGTTGGTAAACTATAAATTCTCGATCAAAGGTGTATTGCTGGTGGGAAGGATAGGATTTTTGGTTTTCATGGAGAATAGCTCCCCCCCCCCCCGCCCCCGGCCGCTTAGTGCAGAGCTCTAGGTAACCCTGAGAGGGGCCCCAAGAAGCCACAGGCACTCGAGTTTTCCCTTTCAGTTTTGAGTAAGTTCTTCCCCAGGAATGGAGGCGGGGGTTGAGCCAGGGAGGGGGTGGTGAGGGCAGGCTCGAGATTTAGGCTGCTTTCTGCTTCCTTTGCAGGAGATGGCCTGACTGGGAAGGCGAGTGAGAAGCCGCCTGAAAGGGTGAGGGGGGGAGGGGATTGGAAGGAGTCTGGTTCCCCCTATAGCTCTGGGAAGGACAGACCCTTCATTTTCCCTCCCAGATGTTGTTCTGTGGAGGGTGTGTGTGAGGAGGGTTAGGAGGAGGGAGGGAGCTCTTGTGTCTATTGCTTCTTAAGGAGAAAGTCCGGCCTCCTTTTCACCCCTCCTCCTAAGGGCTGGGCCAAGGGTCCCTACTCTCCCTTCCCCCTCTCATGTCTGTATCCCACCCACCCCCAAACCCTGTACTAGTGCAGCTGGCCCTTTAGCCTGCCCCTGGTGTCAGCTTTCCTCCCCTCCCGATGTTTCCAAGGTACAGAAGAGAAGCGAGCGCGTTAGAAGAGTAGAGCCTCCAAAACCTGAGGTTGTGGATTCCACTGAGAGCAGTGAGTAGGACTTGAGGAAGTGTGACCGAGTGGGATGTGGCGGGCCATGGATCGCCTGGCTCCTGTAGCGCCGAGCCATACAGAGTGTGAAGTGCCTATCTCTGCTCTGGGTTGGCATGGGAACCAGGGGCAGTGGGGGAAATTGAAAACAAGAGCAGTGAGAATGGAGTTTCCTGTTTCAGCTATGCCATCCCTGTCCCCGAATCTTCTCACTTAGAGCCCTCCCTTCCTCTCCCTGGGAGATTACAGAGTAACTAAGGGAGAGTGACACCAGTGGCTTAAGATACCAACGTAGTGTGGGGGTTGGGAGTAAAGGCAAGAACTGTGAGGATGGGGATCCCAGTATCAGCTGCGCAGCCCGTTGGTCGTTGGTCAGGGGATGGTTGGAGACCTCCTCCCATAGCTTTTGCTCACTGCCCCTCCCCCTGCTTCCTCAGTTCCAGTGTCAGATGAGGATTCTGATGCCATGGTAGATGACCCCAACGATGAGGACTTTGTGCCATTCCGACCCCGGCGCTCTCCTCGCATGTCCCTACGCTCAAGTGTGGCACAAAGGGCTGGGCGCTCTTCGGTAGGCACCAAGATGACTTGTGCACATTGCCGGACACCACTGCAGAAGGGGCAGACGGCCTACCAGCGCAAGGGGCTGCCTCAGCTCTTCTGCTCTTCATCGTGTCTCACCACTTTCTCCAAGAAGCCCTCGGGCAAAAAGACCTGTACCTTTTGCAAGAAGTACGTGAGGTTCCCAGGGTGTGGGCGGGGGCAGGGATCAGGCTGGGAATAATGGGTGAGACAGAGACTATGTTGGCAAGAACCTAGCAGAATGGAACTGGGAGAGAGAGAGGCAGTCTAGGGAGGCGGTCTAAGAGTGTTTGGCTCTGTGGTTGCTGATCTCAGAGGAGGGGCAGCAGCTGATAAAATGAGAGGATAGTACTGAGTGAATATCCACATCCGTTCCCACCTCCAGGGAGATCTGGAACACCAAGGACTCGGTTGTGGCGCAGACTGGTTCAGGAGGCTCCTTCCATGAGTTCTGCACATCTGTCTGCCTCTCCCTGTATGAGGCCCAGCAGCAGCGCCCGATCCCCCAGTCTGGGGATCCTGCCGATGCCACTCGCTGCAGCATTTGCCAGAAGACTGGAGAGGTGAGGAAGCTCGATAGGGGCCGATGTACAGAGCCTGGCCAGCCCTGACCTGCCCCTGCAATCGTGGGGCTGCAGGGGCCAGGGCCTGTGGAAGAGGGGCGAGGGGAGGAAAGGCAGCCATCGTGAGGGAGCGTGTTGAAGGATAGAGCTTCTCCAGGTTTTGTGCAGC